TCTTTTACGCCCCATTCTTGAATACTGCTCATTTATCTGGTCTCTATAGTATAATAATTAGGATCGTATTGAATCAGTTCAGTAGCATTTTTCGCGTTTTGCCTTACGAGGTTTAAACTGGGACTAAAATTTTCTGTTGCCATCCAGCATGCTTTTTCTTATTGATCTTCCGTTTTTAACCAACCGTATGACAATCCGCTGTGTTGTTTTCTTACAAATGATGACCTTTGGCGGCATAAATGTTTTTTTATAGGGCGTCTTAATTCTCTGCTCCAGACCTACCATCAATTATCGACCTTTATCCCTACCTTCGTCCACGACAGATTACGCTATGCACAACTCTTTTCGTGGTTTATGCATAGATAACAATTAATTGTATAGCCTGGCTATAAATTTTCCCCACCAGGTTGGTGATTTCCCATCACTATCCTATCTACTTTTTTTTACAACTTTTTTCTCCCCTTTGGCTTAATTATCGCATATTCTAAAATAATATGCCCAATTAAGATTGTTTTTATTTTGTACATAAGAATACTATTTTCTTTACTTGCACTTCTTTGTTGTAAACTTAATAACGTTACTGACAAAATTTGCAGTAAAAAGGGGCATAGCTTGCAAGACGGGCAAATGAATAATGTATTCTCATTAGGATTTAAGCTTTTAATATGTATATTCTTATGTATTAAATACTCAGGTTGACACTCGTTGTGTCGACCAAAAATAAATAAGATAACTACCGGCCGATGACTCATGATCCCAAGTTTCTCATGCGATAGTCGACGATGGTATCGTAGCAATAAACGATCGCCTGGCGAAGGTTCAGAATCGCCTTTATCAACGGTACCACCATCAAGTAGTGACCCCATTAAACATAACCGGCCACAACGTAGTTCCGTTTATTTATTTTTTTGTTTTTTTTTGATAAATGTTTATAGTATTGAAGCATTTTTGTTTTTACACCACAGTTGGGTTAGGTGTTATTCGCCAAACCTGGTTGGGTCCTCAGGCTTTATCGTGGACAAACGTCAAAGGCGGCTTTTTTGAAAAAGGCTGCATCGTCCCGTAGGTAGTCGGGGACTCTGGAGGAGGTCCTTGAACGATCTTTTCTTGAGCCTTCTGACTACACACCTCCCAACGAGTTCTCTTGCTACCCGGTTAAGGTGTCGCTGCAAGCGCTCGTTGTACCGGTTGGCGGATGCTCCGACTTGGCTGTCTATGGCCGCCATTTTGAGGTCTCCATGCAAGGTAGAATTTTTGACGTGCCAGTCAGCACCGGTTATTCGGCGCAAAGCCAAGTTTTGGTGTGTCTGAATTTGTCTTCGATTTGTCCGAGATGCAATGCCCCAAACCTGAATACCGTAACTCCTAGTTGGCGCCACCACGACGTTGCAAACTGCCCCTTTGCAGCGAAGTGGCAATGGGCTGTTGGGGCTTAGTAGCCAGTTGGCGGCACTGCTTAAGAAGGCTGTCATTGTGCGCCCGAAAGCTAAGCCTCTTATCCAATACAATTCCAAGATACTTGGCGCTTCTGCCAGGGTGAAGGGGGCTGCCATCTATCCAGACTGCTGGAGCCTTGCCACGCCTCAGTGTGTAGTTGACCGCCTGGCACTTCGAGGCATTGAGCTTCATGTTCCATCTGCGTGCCCAGCTCTCAAGCAAGTGGATGTATTGCTGGGCTCCGTCAGTGGCTTCGTACTCCCGTGGGCGAAGTAAAATATTGCCACGTCATCAGCAAATGTGGCCATCAGGTGTTTGCCTGGGGTTGCAAACTCGTGTAGGTCATCCGGAGTGGGGATGTCTGTGTACAAATTGTAGAGGAAGGGGCCCAGTAAGCTGCCTTGAGGGACACCCGCCTTCCTTTTTCCGAACAGGAGAGATTGCTGCCCTAGCTTTGACCATTAGATAAGAGCGGTGAAGTAGAAAGAAGGGAGCGGGGAGACTCATCATGATTTTCTGGGGCAAAACATCAATACAGACTCGGTCGAAGGCCTGCTTAACATCTACAAAGACTCTATATCAATAGTCTTTGTCGTCGTTAGCCTTGAGAATATGGTTAAACACTTGGTGAACGTGTTCAACAGCTCCATGCCCTCCCCTGAACCCAAATTGGTGATCAGGAAGGATGGCCATGTGATCCATAAGCCTTGAAAGTCGGGCGGCAATCAATCTTTCTGAGACCTTCGACAAGGAAGGCAGGAGACTGATCGGCCGAGATGACTCAGAGTCATATTCCGGCTTGCCCGACTTATGGATCATATGGATCCTCGCTAACTTCCACTGGGCAGGGAAGTGTTGCGTCCTTAATATGGCGTTGAAGATCAACGTTATAAAAAGGAGCGCGCGCGTTGGTAGGGCCTTCAGAGTGGTGTGGCATATTCCATCATGGCCCGGTGCTTAAGCCCTGGGAAGGACTTTGACGACGTTGATCACCTCCTCCACGCGGATGGGGCCGACAGGTGGTAACATCTGAAGCGGAGTCTCCAACGCTCGGGTGGTCTCATCGAGCTTTTCTACGGAGGCCAAATCGAAAGACGTAAACCGTTCCTCCAGGTGGCTGGTGAGGGTATTAGCTTGCTCTTCGTCTGTAAAGCAGTATTTTCCATTGTGGCAAAGAAGGGGAACGGTTCTCCAGGATTGGCGCTTCAGGTTTTTAGTTGCTCGCCACAGCGAGTATCCTGAGTCATGGGTATAGTCCATGCTCTCCAACCTTCTGGAGAAGAATGCGTCTTTGTGTCTGCGAAGGGCCTCTTTGAGTTGCCGCTCCGATGGATGCTGAGTCGTCTGGAACCTGCGTCTGCACCGCCTCTTGATCCTGAGCAGATTGGCTATGTCTGCGGGCAGTCTGTTGCCAGCACTATCCAGCCACCTGGCCACTGGTGGGGAGTGGCTTCGGCTGCTGTTGCGTGAATCTTTGCGATGAGCAGCTCAATGGCGTCCTCTACATCCAGTCAAGTGCAGGTTTCGGTGTTGAGGTGGATACTTTCACTCATCTGTCTCTGGAAGACACCGAGATCAGTGCGTGCGTTGATCAGCCTCGGTATTGCGCTTACCACCGTGGCCCTGCTCTCCAGGGTAACTCCAGGTCCAGGTGGTCGCTCGGGAGGTCCCAATTGTCAGCGATTGGGAGGAGCTGGTAGATAGCGAAGTCTATGCAAGACGGAGTGCCTCTGCTGCCGTACGGGTATCTTGTGGGAGAACCTGTGGCCAGGACCTTCGCTTGACGATGCGCTAGGCTGCTAGCTAGTTGAATGCCGCGCGATTTGCTGCTATCCGAGTTGACTATGACGCTGAAGTCATCAGTCGACGTATGCTCATTTGGCCTGCAATAGACTGCTCCAAAGTCCACATTACCAGCATCAGTGGAGACTTTCACAGTCGAAAATTGGTAAACACGATTAGCATTGCTCAATTGCGAGAAGTGAACCAAGTTACTCCGGACGAGGACAGCGCAGCCGCCACTAGCTGAGTGATTTTGAGTCCAGTGTACAGGGTACGCCTTGAAGCCAAAGATTCTGGGGAAGGTACGACCGCTGGTTCTAGTTTCTGACAGCAGTATTTTTCCGATGGCGTGTTTTTTTTACTAGGGCCTCCAACTTTAGTACTTTACCTGAAATGCCATTGGCATTCCAGATTAGGACCTTCAGTGGTGTGTTCATGTGGATAGCAACGCGGTGAAAAGGGTAATGATTTGCTGTTGCATACCCAAAACCTGCTGTTGCATTTCTGCCATCCTCTAGATAGCTCGGCTCATGTCCTTAATGGCAGAGAAAAGTCTTTCCCCGTTTCCAGATGTCTGATGTTGCGCAGTCAGCCTCTGCTGTTACCGTTCCCTCAACAGTCTATGTAGCCTAGCTTGCGCTAGTCCTTCTCGCTGGGTAGAGCTGGGGGCGTTGTTCTCTTTTCTATATGCAGCTAGTCCTCTTATGGTGGCAGCGGCGTATGAAAGCCCTTCTACTTGTTCAGTGGTTGCTGTACGGGGAAAGTCAACAGGTGTGACTGGAGGCCTTTGATTACTATGAGGTATGGCTTCTCCTCCTGCAGCTGGTATGAGTAGAACTCAATTTTTTGTTCTAACGAAGTTCTCAGTCTATCATTCTGACAACATCTGACAACCAAGAACCTCGAAATTAAGGGAACCCCGTCGACGCATCAACGAAGTCCGTATTGTTACGAGTCCTTTGCCTAACACTAATAAGCGTTGCTATCGTTAGCGGCCTTGTCATCCTTAAACGGTATTTGTGAAAGAGATAGGAGAAGCGCAAGATTATCGCACTGGTAGCAAATATTGGCATGCTCGAGAATAAATATGATCCCAAGGAGGGAGGAGTTAACTGATCCCATCCGCGGCGTCAACGACATAACATTGACAACGATTAGCATTGCGGGGGTCATCGAGAGCCATCTCGGCTATGGTAAATTGTTTCCTTGCACGAGGAGCAAACTCAGCGCTATCGCTACTAGCAAAATATTCTTTTGTATTTAGTATATATATTAGTAGTTTATATATATGTATATATATATATATATATATATATATATATATATACTACTTATATATACTATACTTATATATTGTATATATATATATATATATTGTATATATATATATATATATTGTATATATATATATATATATATTGTATATATATATATATATATATATAAGTAGTATATATATATAGTATAAATCAAACTCCCTGCCTTCCAGGAAAGACGCTAGTTGCGAGACAACTTTGACCAATATAGGGGTCAGCCTCGTAAACTATGAGCGTATTAATAATGATGTTACAAATAAATATAATGAGACCAAATGGTTTATTAATCATCTTAACGACCAAAATTATATTTCAGGTTAGCTTTGTGGCTTCGTTTTGTGTTAAGAATATTTATATAAGCAATAAGGAATGGATTCTACCTACTTATTTATCCTCCTCTATCGAAAAAAGCTCAATATTTTCTAACTTACATTTTTATTTATTGTTTGTTTATGTTTGTAACCACAGTTGGTGAAGTCGAATAACATCTCTGAAATACAAATGCGGGAATGCCTAAATATACCAATTGGCTTGCGACCACTGCATATGTGGCGGTGTTATATGCTTAAAAACCATCCCGGTCTTTTGGTCATTCAAAATCCATTTACATTCAATGGTCAGCGTTATTGGATAGCTCGAAGTCTGCGTGATTACCCTCTTGCACCAAACATCGTGAACTTGGATGCAAAACATTTTTCATCTAATACTGTATCTGACTGGTGGAGAGAGTTACATAAGTGCACTGAGAAAAGTGTTGCTCACCGTCTTAAGACTTCAATGCGTTGGACAACATTGGGGTATCATTACAACTGGGACACCAAAGCTTACGATGAGGCGACGCACACAATGTTCCCAAGTGACTTGTTTAGCTTAACCCAATATTTTTCTCATGTCTTAGGCTTTCCAAATTATATCCCGCAAGCCGGCATTATTAATTACTACCCTATTGGCACTTGTTTATCTGGTCATACTGATCATTCGGAGTTGAACCATGAAGCACCGCTATTTTCATACAGGTACAGGTTAAGACAGTCTCAAAAATGCACAGATCTTATTAACTTCTTAATGCAGTTTCGGACAAACTGCTATTTTTCTTATAGGTCACAACACACAAGAAGAGCAGCCTACTGCTCTGTTTCTTCGTAGTGGAGATGTTTTAATTATGTCTAGGGAGTCGCGTCTTTGTTATCATGCTATACCACGCGTCATGAAAACACAGAAAGAACCATGGAATGATTTCCTTTCAATACCTCAGTGCAAAAACAATGAAACCTTTGGTAGTTCAATGAATTTTGAATTGTACGATCAGGTTACTGATACGTGCTTTTGGATACCGTTTAACCGTTATATCGCCGACTCACGCATAAATATTAATGTGCGTCAGGTTTTGCCTTCAGATGATTGCCTTCAAATTTGAATATTTTTTGTATTTAATAGTAATTGTTCTGTTTGCTGCGAAATCGCAGCTTAAGAAAGCCAAAATGATCGAAGAAATGTTGTCTTTTCAGTTAGTTTAAATTATTAAGCACAGGGTGGTGTGGCTATATTCTTACTAAAAGCTAAGTACCATAATTCAAAACAGAAAAGAGTGACTGCTACAGTGACGCAGCCACTTGCAATGGGTCTGGATACAAATACCCCCTTCATATTGCCGATGTACCGGAGATTTCTCAGACTTAGCTCGTGGACCAAAGGCATACTGAGATGATTTTGATGCCCAGGGATGTTGACCTATGTCACGACGGATGCTGCTGGTTTTTGCTTAGAGACCTGTAATAATTATCAAGCAGAGCCCCATTTAGGGAGACCTGTTCGTCAAAGTTAATAAGATGCGTTCCCGAGATTGTTTAGTTAAGGCCGTTCTCGTTCATGATGCTGATGGTGGCTTCGTCAATAATAATAACCCCTTCGTCAATTTAGGCTATAGGACCCAAGTGACCTAACTGGTTGTTGCACTGCCCGACGGTTCCTGTAGTTACTTGTTGGGCGCAGGTAGGTGTTTTCAATATACTACAGAAGATGGTGGGCCCAGTCGCTTCACAATCGCTTATGGCAAAGTTGTTTGTGCCGCAGTCTGTGCACTTGTTACTTTTTTCTAGATCTAATATTTTATTATTATGCTGAACAGGATAAATTTTAATCTTTTGCAACCAGTTTTTGGTTTTGGGAATTTAGTGAGGTAGTAAAAAATTTAATTATTCTGAAAAACTTTAATTTCTGCTACCTTGAGGATATCATCTGCGCAAACCCTTGTGAGATATTCATTGTTTATTTATTTTATAGCGTTTTCGTCTAAAATGACGAGGTTGATCAAGTTATTTTTTGCCAATGTTATTAAAGGTATTACATATTCTAAGCTTATAATGATTATTTTATTTTTGCCAATATTGTGTTAAACAGGTGCCCTGAGTCCGGCTGGATTGTTAAATGGATTTCGATTTTTCTGTTCTCCGATTCTATTAGTTGACTTTGTTTAAATCTCATTTGCTCCCAGTCATCGAAATCTGGATTCTCTGCTTCTTTTTTTTGTGCCGTTTCTATTAGAATAATGCGTGCGTGTCTGTGTCATATTCTTACTGTGTCAATCAGTGGTTTAATATTTTTGAAGTCTGTAGTTAGGATCCTTCTCATGTGGTTCTTTAAGAATCCCGTAAAATCCGGAAGATCATTTTCATTGGCCTACCGTCCTGGTTAAACACTGCCCCTAAGCCGTGTGCCGAAGCGTTAGATTGATCTGAACTTTCCAGGAAGTATTAGCACTTAAGTCGAAATGGTTGGTAAGGTATTTGTCGTCTACGGTTTTTCATACCCTGAACCCATTGAAAATGGGTAAAAAGGGTATAATGTATTTGTGCAAATGTAAGTAACAGGCAGAAGAAGGCATCGCGGCTCCATAAAGTATATATATTCTTGATCAGCGTCAACAGCCAAGTCGATTTAGCCATGTCCATCTGTCCGTCCGTCCGTCATATAAACGCAAGGATATCAAAAGAGCTAGACTTGAAATTTGGCATATGGTCCTCCTAGTGCCCGCGCAGTACGCGTTTGTTTCCGATATTAAAATGCAATTGACTTTTTAAGAATACACAAATATTCTATAGTACAAAAGGATCTACTGTTGAAAATTTCATCAAGATCGGTTAAGAAACACAAAAGTTATTAAGGAAAATGTGTTTTAACTGGCCTCGTGCTTGCGGCAGCTAGCGCAAATTGCAACAATTTCTGTATACATGTACAACACATATTCATGTGCTTCTTAATTGAATTATATCAACAGCATTGCAATAGCGATTGTATTGTTTTCTGTGCTGCTAATTTAATGCGTTTATTCTCATTAAAATTCAATTGTTGGTGTGGCTGTTGGCGTCAAGTAGCGTGGTATTGAGAAAAGTTTTTTTTTGGTTATTTATTTTTATTACTGCAGGGTATCTCCTAGTCGGGGACTCCCGACTGGAGCCTCTTAATTGTTCATTTAGTTTTCTAAAATCATTTACCAAACCTTTTTTGTGGCCAAACTCATCATCTCTTCTGCCAACAACTCAGTAAGGTGTGGCGGAAGGTGATCTGGACGACCTTATTATGCCATCTGCAAGAAGTCGTTTGCCTTCTGCATTGACAAAATCGGCTACGTCCATTGGGTGCAGATATAGTTTAGAGTATACCGGCGCCCCGTCTGTGCGAATTTTGGCTAGAAGTTTTATATTATAAGGCAAGGACCGCCTTTGGACTTCGCTTGATCATGCTGCTTAAAGTTTCTTTTGAGTGGAAGGGGTATACCGTCATCATTGATTCTTATAAAATGTATTCGTAAATTGGATTGGTTCTGAACTGTGCCCATGATTAATAGTGTTTTTTGTTAGATCGAGGACGATAATGCCGCCGGCGTCTTTAAAGATATGTAGAATGAAAATATAAGTTTTGACATTAAATAAATGAAAGGGGCACTTGTGTTCTATTGTTGTGTGACCGTGTGTTGATTTTGCTTTGAATGGTTTTTCGGCAGGTGCAAAGTGTGCCAGCGCTGGAAGCGGCCTGGTATAAGTTTTGGAAGCCCCGGTGTCGATGGGGATGGTTTGTCCGGCTACTGTACTTGTAAAAAAGGGTAGCTGGGATGCACCTTCTAAAAATTGCAGGTTTCTATTTCGGACAAATCGTCTTATGCTCGAACGGATTCACCCTGGGCTACAGTCTCGTACCTCTCCCTTGTCTCTTCCTGGCCCTGGGGCGTATGGTTAATTCTCTGCATGGAGCAGATTTTCTAATAATTGTGTTGCCTGTCTGCATCGCGACGATGTGTCAGGGGCTTGGTTACTATTATTATTCTGACTAAACGGGCATTGTTTTCAGCTACCTACTTGTCGTGGCTAGTTATTGGTCAAATCGTTGGCTGAATGATTACCATTTTGCCCTGGTAATTAGGATTATCTGTTGATTGTCGGCGATCATTCTAACGCCATCTTTGGAGAAGTTTTTTGCTGGGCTTATGAGTTGTTTTCTTACTATATTTGCCATAGCTTGCCGCAAGCGCATAGCGATTTTAGCTCACTTCTCCTCCTGCGCAAGGGCCATGGCCATTGGAAAATTCTTTGGTTGGGCTATAGTGTAATTATTGTTTTTTTTTTTTTCTTTTTTTTTTGTTTATTGTATTGGATCAAAAATAGCACACATTTTTTTTACAACACAGTTGGCTTAGGTAATGTTTCGCCAAGCCTGTTTGAGTCCTCAGGCTTTAAGGTGGACCAACGTCAAAATCGGCTTTTTTGAATAAGGCTGCATCGTCACTTGGGTAGTCGGTGGACTCTGGGGCGTCTCCTGTGTCGTGGACGCCCTCCCCTGAACCCAAATTGGGGATCAGGAAGGATGGCCATGTGATCCATAAGTCTTGCAAGTCGGGCGACAATCAGTCTTTCCCAGACCTTCGACAAGGAAGGCAGGAGACTGATCGGCCGATATGACTCAGGGTCATATTCCGGCTTGCCCGACTTATGGATCATATGGATCCTCGTTAACTTCTACTGGGCAGGGAAGTGTTGCGTCCTTAATATGGCGTTGAAAATCAACGTTATAAAAAGGAGCGCGCGCATTGGCAGGGCCTTCAAGGCGGTGTGGCCCGGAGCGTTAGTTCTAGAAAGAACTTTCGCGGCGTCGATTACCTCTTCCACGCGGATGGGACCGATAAGTGGTGACATCTAAATCGGAGTCTCCGACGCTCGGGTAGTCTCATCGAGCTCTTCTGGAGAGGCCGAGTTGAAAACCGTTCCTTTAGATGGCTGGCGAAGGTGTCAGCTTGTTTTTTAGTTTTATTTTCTGACAGCAGAATTATTCCGATGGCGTGTTTTTGTACTAGGGCCTCCAGCTCCAGTACTTTTCCCGGAATGCCCTTGGCATTCCAGATTAGCACTTTCAGTGGTGTGTTCATTTTGATAGCAACGAGGTTAAAAGGGTAAGGATTTGCTGTTGCATACCCAAAACCTGCTGTTGCATTTCTGCCATCCTCTCGATAGCTCGGCTCATCTCCTTGATGGCGGTGGAAAGTTCTTCCCCGTTTCCAGATGTCTGCTGTTGCTGTTGTTGCGCAGTCAGCAGTCTATGTAGCCGAGCTTGCGCTTGTGCTTCTCGCTGGCTAGAGCTCGGATCGTTGTTCTCTGTGCTGAATGCAGCTAGTCCTCTTATGGTGGCAGCGGCGTATGAAAGCCATTTACTTGTTCAGTGGGTGCTGTGCAGGGGAAGTCAACAGGTGTTAGCCCATGAACTTTGTTGCTGCGGCTTTTTTCATTTTGGCGGGGTTTGGGGCTCCCGCACGCTTTATATATTCGGTGAACCACTCGCAGCCCTTATAGTTGGCAGGGTGGTTACCACCGCAGTGGACGCATGTTGCCGGAACTGATTCGGGTCGTGTGCAATCAGCAGAGCGATGATTGAGCCCGCATTTAACGCATTTGTGTTGTTTTCTACAGTATGTGGCCGTGTGCCCGTACTCCTGACATCTATGGCATTGCACCACATCCTGGCTTCTTCGAGCAGTCTCAACCTTGGCCACCTGCTTGCACAGCTTCCTGATGGTAAGAACCTCCTTGTTGTTGGCCGCCGGCTGCAAGTTGATGAAGTGGATGTTCATGGGCTCCTTGGTAGCTTTGCTGCTCGGATTGTGCACGTGGAGAACGGTATGGCCCTGGGTCCGCAGGTCGTCGATGAGTTCTCGGTTGAGTGTGGAGTGGTGGAGGCCTTTGATTACTATGCGGTAGGGCTTCTCCTCCTGCAGCTGGTATGAGTAGAACTCAATTTTGTGTTCATCTATTATCTGTATGATGGCCCTGTATGTGGGCACATCAATGACTAGGAGTCGCATAGTCCTACCTAGGTTGGATTTGATGGTCAAGTTATCTGCTACTTCGGATAGTAGGAGCCACACGTCGTTGATGCGATGGGGGGATGGCTTCTTTCCTCCAGTGGTGGCATTGTTGTTGGCCCTTTTATCGGGCACGGAGGAGCTG